CAGCCTGACAAAGCTGGATTTCAACTTTATGGGCCACTGACTCTTCTTCTAGTGTCCTAAACGCCACGTTTAAATAAAGCCCCAGGGACTTCCCTGGTGGTATAGTGGTTAAGAATCTGCCTGCCAGTGCAAGGACGCGGGTTCGAGTCCCGGTCTGGGAAGATCCCATATGCCGCAGAGCAACAAAGCCTGTGCGCCACAATTACTGAGCCTGCACTCTAGAGCCCGTGAGCCACAACTCCTGAGCCGGTGTGCCACAGCTACTGAAGCCCACGTGCCTAGAGCCCGTGCTCTGCAACAAGAGAAGCCACTGCAATGAGAAGCCTGCGCACCGCAAAGAAGAGTAGCCCCTGCTCACAGCCACTAGAGAAAGCCTGTGCACAGCAACAAAAACCTAACACAGCCAAAAATAAATAGATAAATTAATTAATTAAAAAAAATAAAGGCCCAGTAAGTGGTAATTCATTAGTTTGTTTTTCCCTCGCCTCTTTGGTTCTGAGCTTATTTTTTAATGTAATTTAAACACCTAGGTGAAATTGTCAATAAATAATAATGCAAACTGTACTACCAGATTTAGGCAAGTAAAAACTAGATGGACTTCCAGGTAGATTACAAATTCAGAGAGGACTGGAAAATAAAGCAAGAAAAGAGTGCATTTGTTTCTAACATCGGCTGCTATAGCCAGAACACCCCTCTGAGAGGTATGGGCCATGAAAGGAATCTTCTGCTGTGATTAGCAACAAGGAACAACCTTCTTTGGGGGAGGGAAGGATCAGGTCGTGTTTGGGATGGCTTTCTAAAGAACATGGACGCTCCAGCCTGCAGGGGTGAGATAGGGTTACCCCCAAGTATGGTCAGGGCTATGTAAGTGAATCCAATATCACTAAATCAAAACCTCCCCTAAGACCTGGCTGCTTCCTGGCTGCCTCTTCTAGAATGAGGGGTGACTCAGAGTGTGACTGGCACTGTGACTTCAAACATTTCTGAGTAATTCCCATGGACCTAGACAAGGGCAATTAGAGAACTGGTTTGGAATGACCACTGAGATCGAAAGATACTTCTGGTGGCCAGCAGGAGAAAGGCAAATTGCCTAGGAAGCTCAATTTTGAGGTATCTTCTGTCACAACTAGGAGACAAAGGTACCTTCTGACATTCTAAATCCTAGACACTAGAGCTTACTAATGTAGGAGGGTGCATCCTGGGCTTCCCTCTACGATGGGCACCTTTGATGTCATGGAATACACGAAGACAAAAATTTTAAATGGTGAAAGAGAAACTGAATTTTTAGTGATAGAGGAAGACCCAAATGATCTGGCCACTGTCTGGCTACCTTTCTGATCTAATTTCCAACTACTCTTCACTGTCTCCCTCTGCCCCCGGGATGCATTCTGCTATTCCTTGAACATACATTCCAACTACTCTCCCACCTCAGGACCTTTGCATGTGCTGTTTCCTCTGCCAAGAACTGCCACTCCTCTAGATGTTTCCTGGAAGTTTCCTCACTTCATTCCTTGGATAGATCTTTCGCAGCCATCCTATCAAAACAGAAACTCTTCACATTCCATTCTCTATTCCTTTACCCTGCTCTAGTTTCCTTGGTAGCACATTCACTACTGACATTATATTATCTATTTGTGTTTATTTGTTTATGGCCCCTCCCCACCCCTCCAGAAGCTCCATTGCAAGTAGAGATTTTTGTCTGTGTTGGTCACCACTGTATTCCACTGCCTAGTGCATAGAAGATCCCCAACAAATATTTTTTGAATGTTTGAATAAATAAAAATTTTATTATTTTTATGTGATTATATGCAGTTATTTTCCTGTGCTCAGAAGTCTACAGGTACTATTTTATTTAATCTTAACAACAACCCTACGAAGTAAGGGTTACACTCTCCCATTTATAGATGAAGAAATTGAAGATTAGAGAGATGAAATAACTTGTCTGTTTTTGTTGTTATTTCTAGGTGGTTTCTGTGTTTGGGAGGTTTTGACGTCGGTTTGCTTTTAAGGACCTCAGTCACAAGGAGACATCCAGACTTATCCCCATTTGGAACACACTCCGTTCCTCACTTTATATCCTGCCTCTCTTTTGCTTATTTTATAATTTTTCCCTTTATGCCCTATTCCTAACTTGGTTTTCCTCCTCCAGATTTGCATCTGATATAGTATATCTGAGGCAGTTAATTATAGTTAAGGGTCTATACTCCAGCTAGCTTGCCTGGGCTGACCTCCTGGCTTTGCCACTTAATAGCTGTGACATTGGGAAATTTTGAACTTTTGATCTCCCTCCATTTGTTTTTTTTCTTTCTGGGGTCCCTAATACACACACTTTGACACCTGATTCTCCACGTTTCTTTTCTATTTTCCATTCTTTACCCTTACCCTTTCCTTGCCTCCTGGGGAAACTCCTCAACCTAACCTTCCAGCTCATATTGACTAGGTACCTTCATTATTTAAGCAATCCATTGAATTATTTATTCAATAATTACAGGATATTTTTGAAAAATTAACTTTTTTTCAGTTTTAATGAGGTATAATTGACAAATAAAATTGTAAGATACTTAAAAGTATACGACGTGATGACTTGATATATGTAAACATTGTGACAGGATTTTCCCCATTAAGTTAACACATCTATCATCTCACATATTTATTTTTGGTTGGGGTGAGAACATTTAAATTGTACCCCTCTTAGCAAATTTCAGTTATACAATACAGTGTTATCAACTATAGTCACCAGTTACACATTAGATCCTCAGACATTATTCATCTTTTAAATGAAAGTTTGTACCCTTTTACTAACCTCTCCCTATTTCCCCCACCCTCGAGCCCCTGGCTACCATGATTCTACACTCTGCTTCTATGAGTTTGACTTTTTTAATTTTTAGATTCCACGTGTAAGTGATACCATCAGTACTGTCTTTCTCTGTCAGGATTCATTCTAATTCTTTTACTCTTCTAGTAAGAACTGCTTATTCTCACTTCATGTTTCCAGTATCTTCTCTCACCCCTTCAAGCATATTTATTATTCTGGTTTTAAATTCTTCTCCTGTTTTCCATGAGTTCTGTTTTCTCTGGTATAGGTTGTTCAGTTTGTTGTTCCTCAAACTTACAGTTCTTGGTATTTGCCCTCTGAGCTCATCCTTGTTCCTCTGGGGCCATTAGCTGCCTTGATTAGCAAAATGCATCTGTGGAGGGGGCAGATGTCTATAACAACTTGTGCTGCTCTAGATGAATTGGTGTGTATGTTTGTTATGTGCATTTGTGGGAGAGGCACGGTACTGTGCTCAGTTGGTCTCCAAAGAACTTCTGAATAATCTTTTCTTGGAGGCAGCCACTCGGTATTATAAGTGGGTGCCCACAGGAGGATAAGAGCCAGGAGATGTATGTATGGAGGGGGCCTTCTCAGGGACTGGTCAGACCACATACACTCATTGCCATCTGCTCATAACCATCCCCCATCCAAGCCCTGCCTTGTAGTTACCCCACTGCTTCTATGTGCTGAAATCCTGCCTCTACAGTACCCAAAGGAGGGGCACGTCTACCTAGGGCAGCACAAGGATGAGGAAGAGACAGAACTGAAACATTTTCCCCCAAACTGAGTCCCTACCTGTGACCCCAGGCCCTACCCACCTCTGGCCAGTTTCCCTGCCAGGAGATCAAGTCAACTTCTATCCACCCCAAGAATTTCTTTCCACAGCTAATTGCTGAGCACAGCTCCAAAGTTCATCTCTTGTGGCATCTCTCCAGGGGAGAGCACTCCATTTGTGTTGCTTTGCTATCTTGCCCTGAGCCAGAAGCCCTGTAGGCTTCCCAAGATCACCAAGCTGTAAGTGATGGAGCTGGGATTCAAACCTTGATCTTTTTGACTCCAGCACTTGTGATTTTAACCCCTATGCTATGCTCAGGGTTTGCTGAAAGGTGATGGGGTCAAATTATCCATCCAACTAAAAAATTATTTCATTCCAAATCTTTCCCACTAAACAGAACCTGGGCTCCTTAGAGAAATGGCAAACTCCAAGTCTGAGGAAAGAAATGTACAAGAAAGGTATCAAAAGAACACTAGGGTTGTAACCAAAGGACTCAGAAACCACGTTGAAGAGACTCTCAGTGGCTACAGATGGACCAATTTTAGCATCAATAAGGGTGATAAAAGCAATTAGTTATACATTTTCAACTGCGTTGAAATCCATAAGTTCATAATGGTACAAAGGGAAAAAAACTAGTTAGTCGTCATTGGAGCCAAGTCCTTATTTTGAAAAATGATAAATGAAGGCATAGAAATAAATCGTTCATCTTGCCTTTCCTAAGAAATTACACCACTGGTAACCAAGCAGTAGATGAGGAGGGATTTTACATTATGGAAATATCCTAGATAACAAGTAAAAGGGATGATAAAATTAGAATATCACCATTTTGCAACCTCTGATAAAGTAATGGATCTAGGCAAGACCTTCAATGGTTGCTAACATCACAAAAAAAGAGATAATCAGACATCAGACTGTCACTATTTTGTTTTGAGAAAGACAACCTGTACCTGATCAGGCCTCTAGATAGATTCAGCCACCAATTTACAAAAAAAAAATACAAGTCAGAGGAACATGTTCAAACAGACCTCAGAGATCAGCATATGAACAATCGGCAAAATGCAGGCTGTGGGAAAGTCTAGAAGAAAACATTTTTTTTAAAACAAATACATTGCAATGGCGAGGGGGGGGAAATAGGGGTAATCTATAGATTAAAAGAGACTTAAAAGACATATCAACTCTCACAACATGTAGCCTTATCTGTATGCAGATTCAAATAAACAAAATCTAAAACAAAAAAGCTATGCCATGTATGAGGACTTTTGAACACTGATTAGATATTAAGGAATTACTATGAAATACTTTAGATGTGATAACTGATATTGTTTTTATGTTAAAAATAGAGTCCACTTCTTTTAAATATATATATTTTTTATAGTTGAAATGTTTTATCTGGATTTTGCTTCCAAATAGAACAGGAGCCAGGAAATGGATGGGAGTACAGATAAAGCAAAGATGGCAAGGAGTTGATGACAGCGGAAGCTCACTGATGGATACATGGGAGTTCATTATACTAATTGGTTAATTTTGTATAAGTGTGAAATAATAAAGTTAAAAGCCTAATAATAATAAAAAGTTTAAAAGGAAAAATATATTATAAAAACAATATGTCCTCATTTCAAATAATATTGAAGTACATAATGAAAAGATGGGTTGCCTGTTTTCACTTCCCATTTTCATATTAACATTCCCTGGAGGTAATCACTTTAATTCTATACTGATACAGACCAAGGCTTTATGCTTTATTTTATAGATATATATGTTAAGTGCAAGAAAAAGCTGAAGTGAGGCATTAGCTACTACAAAATGCTGTCAGCCATCCTACATTTTGGGTGGGACACACACAAGACTATTTTAAAGTCTGGAATTATATATACCAAACAATATAGAGGAGAAAACTATATTTTCATTTGTAGTAAATTTGAGATTTGAAGGTATCAGAATAAGTTCCAAGGTACCTCCCTTTGGAGAAAACACAATATAAAAATTCCAAACTTAGGAAAAAACTTTGTTTTAGATTGGATGAGAAGGAATCTTCACTTAAAACAAGTAAACAGGGCTTCCCTGGTGGTGCAGTGGTTGAGAGTCCGCCTGCCGATGCAGGGGACACGGGTTCGTTCCCCGGTGCGCGTCCAGAGCCTGTGCTCCGCAGCGGGAGAGGCCACAGCAGTGAGAGGCCCACGTACCGCAAAAAAAACAAAACAAAACAAAACAAGTAAACATAAGTATAGCTTAGGGCTCCTTTAGATTGTGAAGTCCACTACTGATTTTGCTTTTTACATTTTATTAAATGTATACATAACTTCTCAAATGCACACACATGTACACACCCCATGATCCATGATCTGGATTTGAAGTCAGGAGAACTGAGTCTATAGGTAACCTGTGTGTAGGGCACCAAAATAACTGGTCAATCCTGTCAATTCAGTTTTTAAAACTATCTGTTTCAGCTAGAAATATTCTATTAAAATAGCTGATAAATTAATCACGGTAGACCTGTCCAGGAAAGAGGAGAAAAGAAAGGTTAGCAAACATAAGAATATAAATAGAGACAAAGTATCATAACTACATGGACCTTATTTAAAAACAGAGAGAGAAACACTTAGCGTGTGCATTGATCTTATTATCTCTTTTCTGACAAGCAGCAGAAAGATGGACTTGTAGAGCCCTTCTGCATGCCGGGTACCACCTACTCCCATCCATCTGCCAAGCCAGCTCCATATGTTCTCTAAAACCAATGTAATCTCTTTGTGAGACTTTTTTTTCAATTAAGGAGAGTATCTTTTCCACCCAATTTTTCTGCAGACTCCTTATAAACACTTATATGATTGTATTTGTGTAAAAGTTTAATAAGCCCTTACTGTTTGCTAAGTGTTCATAACACACAGTTGAATAAGACATGTTTTGGGGGGAACTTTTTAAACAATCTTCTATATTTAGACTAAAGCAGGTCTTTGTTGTCATCTTTTGATAACTTCCTATACTTAATACAGAATTATGAATCAATACAAGCTTTTTGATAAAGAGGAAAGGAGTTTTTTTTTTAAATAATAGAACTTGGGAAAAATGTTCAATAGCTACTTTCCTTGAAAGAACATTATTACCACATTTTTCTGTATTCTTTAATTTTAAAAGGAATCATTCAAATTAAATGATCCTTGACGTAAAACTTCAAAAAATGTTATGATATCATCAAATCATGAAAACAGCATGAAGATTTAGGAAAATAGTCCTTAGTAGGAGCACAAAAACACCCTTTCTCGCTAAACTAGCACTTTGCTGTAAGAACTGTAAATGAAGGATATAAAAGGAGTCTGACTTCAAAATTCCTAATGTTTGAAAATCATACAACGGAAGAAAACCATGTTAAAATAAGGAATGAAAAATTTTAGCCTAAATAATAGCTGTTCTGCAAAGTGAGTTACATCTTTATGTGTGTTTTATATCTGACTGAATACACGTTTTTATTGATTTGCAACCAGCAAAGCCATTGGTACCCATTTTAGTGTAGAAAGCAAGGACTCTAGAAGAAACATTCAAGAAAACTCCCTGTATTTGTGGAGGAGTAGTCATTTCTTAACCAAACTCTGTAACCAAGAAAGAAAATATTAATACGTGGCCATATAAAACTATCAATTTCCTCAAAAATGCACAGAAATAAGTGAGTTATAAAAAGTTGGCAGGAGAGGGATGCGATTCATGTATGAGATCCTCCACTAGAGCTATTGATGGCCATGCCTGGGCCACTGGAGCACAGGGCACTGGCCTCACTCGATGACCCCTGCTGAGCTCACCGACGTCTTCGCAAGAGTTTGCAAGGGGAGAAAGTGACATTTTCGCTCCTACTAAAATTGAGATCTCATCAGAATAGTTCAGCAGTGCCTCACTTTGGAGAAAACCTAATATAAAAATTCCAAACTTATGAAATAAATATATTGGGGGATTGTTTCTCATTCAAGGTAAATAGCCAAGGCTCTAACCATAAGCTCATTTATATTATGTGCACCAGTATTGATTATACGTCAGAATTCAATATTTACACAAATTAAACACACACACACACACGATGTAGTATTTGGACTTGAGCTCAGACATGAGATTATTACAAGTTGTAACAACTGGCCGTGTGAGTCTACAATTCACTTATAGGCCCTTGTTTCCCAAACTATACAGTAAGGAAAACTGGCCTAAAGCCTCCTTTAACTCTAAAATTGTATGATTCTCTGATTTCTCTAAGAGAAATCTTCTACTACGTCGGTGGCATAAGTTCATAGTTCCCTTATATGCCTCTTCCCCAAACTTCTTATTCTGAAAAGTGGTGATTTTGCTAATGCTCTAGGAACTACACAAGTAGTGGACTTCCTGTGGTTCCTATGGCTACTGTACATCTGGGTTTTTCTGGACATGTCAATAAAAAATAAGTTTTTAATTCCCAAATACCAGTACAGAATTCTCCATAAGTACTGAGATTTTCTACAGGTAAAATAAAATAACGGTTGTCTTTTCTAAAAATCTCTGGAAAAGTAAGTTAATATGTAAAATTTTCTCAGTTTGCTGTGTTTCTCCAAATAGTCTCTTAAAATTTCCAGGGGCTGCCCCTGCTTGTCTATTAGTGGTGGAGAGCAATATAAAAAGGTAGCAAATTAATGTATATGGAGAAATAGAAGACTACTGATTTTTAGTTCACAAATTTATTTATGCCTATAAACTTATGGCTTTAATTTTCTATTCCTACATAAACTATCATCATTTATTAACTCAACAACTATATCTTGAACTCTTACTACGTGCCAGGCTTTGTGCTGGACACTAGGTACAAGTAGATAGAACCAGACAGGCTTTGGCCTCATGAAAGTTACAGCTAGTACAGGTCTAAACATTAAATAAATTGTTATACCAAATATATTTGTAATTACAAATTGTGCTAAATGTAATGAAGGGGGAAGAAGACAATATTCAGAGAGAGAATGAATCTCCTAACTTAGAATTTGGGATACCTGAATCTTCAAAACAATTTATCTTTTATGTAAGGCGTCTCCTATAGATCAGATGTGATCTCTGAGACCAGGCTGAGTGTACTAGTCAGGGGTCTCCAGAGAAGCAAAACCAATAGAAGCTATATATATTATATATATGGAGAGAGAGAGAGAGAGAGATTTATCCTAGGATTGATTCACATGATTATGGAGGCCAAGAAGTCTCACGCTCTGCCATTTGCAAGCTGGAGAACCAAGAAAGCTGGGGGTGTAGTTCAGTCCAATTCCAAGGGCCCAGTAATAGGGGAGCCAGTGGCGTAAGTCCGGGTCAGATCTGAAGGCCTGAGAACCAGGAGAGCAGACATCCAAGGGCAGCTCAGGCAGAAGGAGCAAATCCCCCCTTCCTCTGCCTTTTTGTTCTATTCATGCTCTCAGTGGTTTGGAAAATGCCCCCCCTCCCTGCCCCCCATTGGTGAGAGTGGAGTAACTTTACTCAGTTTATTCATTTAAATGCTAATCTCTTCCAGAAACACCCTCACAGACACAGTCAGAAATAATGTTTTACCAGCTATCCGGGCATCCCTTAGCCCAGTCAAGTCAACACATAAAATTAACCTTCAAATACTATGAAGAAAAAGTGAAAAACAGTATTAAGGGAGAGAGTAACCTAGAACTTGGGATATTTGAATCTTCAAAACAATTCATCTTTTTTAAAAAAAATTTATTTTATTTTATTTATTTTTGGCCACATTGCACGGCTTGAGGAATCTTAGTTCCTGACCAGGGATCGAACCCCAGATGCACAGCAGTGAAAACGCCGAGTCCTAACCATTGGACCATCAGGGAATTCCCTAAAACAATTCATCTTATATAAAAAGCAGATGTTATCTCTAAGGTCAGTTTGGGAGATGCAGAACATCCTTCCTTTCTTTACCCCTCTCTTTTCTCTTCCTTCTTCATCCCCAGGTTCCCAGAAACCAACTTCTTTCCTTCCTTCTCTTTCAGAAACAAACAAACAAAAAATTAGGCATCCATGTACATTCAATTATGAAAACCAATACCTAGGAGATCCAGTAATCACCTGGACTTAGCCATGATAGTGGTCACCATGATAAATGGTGAATGGTAAATGAGAACACGTTAAGTAAGTACGCAAGCACACCAGACATCAGAACTCACAGAGCAAGGCCATGGTATCAAGCCCTATGTTCATTTTTCTGTCCTAGTTGTGCTTGGCTTCTTGGCAGTATTTCACTGAGTCGACTACTACCTCTTTCCTGAAACTCAACACCTCTGGGCACACTCTTACTCTCTCCGCCCTCGCCCCCTTCGAAACTCTCTAGCCACTCTTTCTCTACCCTGTCTCATCTCCTTCTCTCCTTGATTAATCATGTTTATTCATGTGACTTCAAATGCCATTTGTAAGAGACGCCTCCCAAATTTATATCTAATGCTGAAATCTTTCTTCTGAACTCCAGTCAAAACTAAACTCTTAATTCACATTCTTTAATCCTGTTCCTCTAGCAGTCTACCCCATTGGATATAGTAACATCACCATCCACCCAATTGTATGAGGCAGAAACATAGGAGCATCTGTGATGCCCTGACCTCCTACCTTCTTCATTCATTCCATCATATAACCTTGAATCAACCCACATTTTTCCATCTCCTCCGCCATCACACTGGGCCAGGCTATTACCATTACCCACCCGGACCACTATAGTAACCTTCTATGTGTTTGTTGGTCTCCATTCTCTTCTCCACAGGCAGCCATCTTTCTCCAGGTTAAAA